GGTTACAATGGGTGATTCTACATCGTTGAATGCTATTGTTATGCCTATGGATGCTTTTATTTCCCTAAGCCCAAGTGAACCTACTCCGGCCCAAACTCATGTTACCTCGGGTCAGCCCATTGAGCCTTTGCTTATTCCTCCTCTGACTGAGTCCACCTTGTTTGTTAAACCCAAATCTAAGTCTTCAAAGAAGAAGAACAAGATTCTTGGCCCCATGCATAAAGAGACTAAAGCCAATGCACAGAAACCTTATACCTTGCCTGTTGTTTCCAAGAAACAAAGTAGCCTTATTCCGCAGATGCTGCCTTCAATCCAAACTGTTTCATCGGCACCTCCTTCGGTGTCTAGTGCCAAGGACAACACACCCATTATACCTTCACCACCAATACCTCATATAATGAGCCTGCCATAAGATTTGTTGTCAACTCCCACTCCATCATCTTCACCACCCACAGTCCCTATTTCTGTCACAAGTTTAATGCCGCTTCAAGCTAGTAATTTGGTTTCCTCGGCTGTAATTCCTAGTACAATCACTTTATCTTCTACAACTTTTCAATGAAAATGGTGACCTGGAATAGTAGGGGAGTTAAGCATGCCTTTTTTAAGAGGGAGTGTCGCGAGTTAGTAAAAATGCATTGTCATGATTTCATTGTTTTCTTGAAACAAAAGCAGATTCAGCTTCTAATGCTTTAAAGTTCCTGCGGCGTCTTGGTTTTGATAAAGACCATCAAATTCCATCTCAGGGAATAGCCGGAGGGCTTTGGTTATTTTGGCATTCTTCCTCTGTGACTTTGGATGTTCTATGTAGTTTTTCCCAATTTATTCATTACTCTTTATCCCAGCAACAAGTCAGCTATCTAGTCACTTTTGTTTATGTTTAGCCACATGTCACCATGAAAGATTTGTTTTGGACTGAATTAGAAAGGCTTGCAAGGGGTTTCTCTATAAGTTGGGTGGTTATGAGAGGTTTTAATGATATAATTTCTGTGGAAGAAGCCTCACCTGTGGCAACTAAAGGCTTGAGCATGCACAACATTTTCAAGATAGAGTAACTCAATGTAATTTGCACTCAACTGAACCATTAGGGTGCAAATACACTTGGGTTCGTAAACATAATGAGAGAGTGCTTCTACGAGAGCATCTTGACAGAGCTCTTTTTAACTTTGAGGCTCTCGAATCCCATTCCCACTGCTAAAGTGATCAATTTGCCCCGACTTTGCAATGATCATCATCCTATTCTGCTTTGCCTGGACAACTCATGCCCGATAGGAAAACATGCTAAACCATTCCATTTTGAGGCTGCTTGGCTGACTCACAACGCTTTTAAGTTTTGTTTTTACTCAGGCATGGTTGTTAAATGCCTCCTCCTTACCTAATGCCATTAAATCTATTCAAGAGGCATGTTTTCAATGGAATAGAAAGGTGTTCGGTAATTTATTTCGTCATAAAAGGCAATTGAAGGGCATATTAGAGGGTATTCAAAATTCTATGCATTATGCCAACTCTAGTTTTTTGTAGAATTTGGAAGCAAAATTGTTGCAAGAATATTATCAGATGTTACATGTTGAAGAATTGTTCTGGTTTAAAAAATCACGCATCGAATGGATTGCCTCTAGTGATAGGAATACGAGATTTTATCATGCCTCAACCATTTTTCATCGAAGTAGGAATCGAATCTCTGCTTTGAAGGTTGATGGTGAGTGGTTGACAGAGCTAGCACATTTGAAACAACACATAAGGGATTTTTTTGTGGAACTATTTGCAAGGAAGGACACTTCTTACTCCCTTAGAGACTATTATGCCTTTCAGCCTTGTCTTTCTATGGAGGATGGCGTTACATTTTTGAACCCAGTATCTTTTGAAGAAGTTCAAATCGTTTTCCATGAAGGGCCTTAAAAGTCTAGGGCTAGACGGTATCCAACCTATTTTTTATCAGAGGCATTGAGAGGAGGTTTCAGGTACTCTGTACTCCTTTGTAAATAATGCCCTTAGAGATGGTTATTTTGAGCATTCTTTGTTACAGGTGCATATCACCCTCATTCCAAAAGGTGAAAATCCGGACATTATTAAGAAGTTTCATCCCATTTGTTTACTTAAAGTGGCTTATAAAGTGCTTATTAATCGATTGCGGCCTTTTCTTCAACAACTAATAGGCCCATTTCAAAACAGTTTTCTAGCAGGTAAAAGCATTACAAACAATATTATCCTTACACAAGAAGTTGTACACTCTATGTATAGGAAAAGAGGAAGGAAAGGTGCCTTAATCTTTAAAATCGACCTTCATAAACCTTTTAACAGTGTTGATTGACATTTTCTACGTTCAGTCTTAGCAAACTTTAATATTCTAGCTCCCTTAATTAGATTAATCATGTTTTCTGTGTCTTCCTTGCACCTTTCGATTCTCTAGAATAGGGATGAGTTACCTCCTTTTCAACCACAATGGGGATTGCGTCAAGGAGATCCTTTTCCCCTTATTTATTCATTATGGTTATGGAGAATTTGTTTTATATGATTCAGAGTAGAGTGCAGACTAAATCATGGAGACCTTTTTGAATTTCTCGAGGGTGCCTATCTCTGTCGTATTTATTTTTTATAGATGACCTTATGCTCTTCTGTGATGCTTCTCAAGCTCAAGTGGAGATTGTCATGGATTGCCTCACTAAATTTTCCAGGAAATCAGGGTTGGAAATTAATCTATCCAAGTCTAAATTGTATGTTTCACTAAACATTCAAAGTCATGTTGTTGGGATTTGGAATGAGATTTATGGTATCCCCTTGACTAAAGATCTAGGCACCTATTTAGGGGTCTCAATTCCTCATGATCAGCCAAAAGCTTCTACTTATAAGCACTTGCTCGAGAAAATTCAAATGAAGTTGATAGGTTGGAAGCAAAATTATTAAGTTTGGCTGGAAGAAAGATTCTAATTCAGTCGATTACTTCTGCCATTCCAGCTTATACAATGCAGTCTATCCTTTTACCGATCAGTGTGTGTGCGAATATCAATCACATGAATAGAAGGTTTCTTTGGGGCTCTGATGTCGCTAGTAAACCGCATTTGGTGAATTGGAGCACTGTTTGCTTACCCCGTGATTATGGGGGTTTAGGTCTCCGATCAACAGCAAATCACAACCAAGCTTTAATTGAAAAGTTGGGGTGGCAATTGATTTCTAACTTGGAAAGGCCTTGGTGTAGAGCTTTGTTAAAAAAATATGTGCAAAACGAGTCCATGCTACATTGTACTCCTCCTTCATCAACTTCATCCACTTGGAAAAGCATACTGCGATGTTGAGGGGTTCTGCAATGAGGATTGCGGTGGAGTGTGAGCTCTGGGCAGAGGATTAAACTCTGGCAAGATGTTTGGGTGGGTGACACGCCCTTATTGGAGCATGCTGCCTCAGAGGTCATGCCCATGCAATTAGATACCACTGTTTCCCATGTAATCTCCCCAGATAACACTTGGAACACTTTTCTTTTAAGGTAGCTTCTTCCTAAATCCATTGTTGAGAAGGTTTTAGCCACTCTGATTTCAGCTTTCGGGAGACAACATGATAAAGTATTCTGGAATGGTTCATCAACTGGTATTTTTTCTGTCAGCTTTGCATTTTTCTTGTTACAACAGTAGCGAATCAACATTTCTCTACAAGTGGGCAACTAGAGGTGGATTTGGAAGCTACAGTGTTTAAACATGATTAAATTTTTTGTATGGCTTCTGTGCAAGGGTAGATTACTCACAAACTTTGTACGTTTTGAAAGACATTTCGCACCAACCCCAGTGAGTCCTAGATGTGAGCACAGTGTGGAGACCCCTTTACACCTATTACGGGACTACTATTATTCTCGACTATTCTGGGATGCTTCATGTGCCTTACCAAAATGCTTTTATATGTTAGATCTGCATGCTTGGCTTAAGCACAATGCAGAGAGGTCTTTAGCATCCGGGGCTCCATTTCCATCTTGGAACATCTATTTCTTGTCAGCTATTTGGACAATTTGGAAGAGTAGGAATGCAGTTATTTTTTATGGTAAGAAGATTCCTCCACATGCTCTACAACAGCACATTTACCGTTTGGCTATAGACACAAGTATGGCACTAACGTCTAATGTTCTAGCTCCTTGCCGAGTTCCTAGATGGGTACGATGGTATCCACCAGATTTCCCTTTTCTTAAATTAAATACTGATGGGGCTATGAATCATACCACTGGAAGAGCTATTACTGATGGTCTTATTCGTGACCATGGGGGACAGTGGATTCATGGATTTACTGTAAACATTGGTCCCCAATCCAGTTTCATGGCTGAGCTATGGCCCTGTCGTGCAGGGTTACAATTAGCTTCTATGCTGGGTGTTACACATTTAACGCTAGAAATGGATTCTCTTATGGCTATTCGATTGATTTAGACAAAACAAATAACGGAGGGTTTTGCTTTTGTGCTCATGTTTGATATTTTGCATTTAATTAGTATGTTCACTATCTATAGGGTGTAGCATGTTCTTCGTGAAGGTAATTCAATAGCAGATTTCATGGCTGTTATAGGTCATTCTCTGCCACAAGGTACTACTCTTTTCCAAACTCCCCCAGTGGGTATACAAGGAATTCTTCAACAAGACAATCTAGGAACATTGTTCCTTAGGACTTAGCTTCTTATGTACCAAAATAAATAAATAAATAAGGGCTTTAATGGCTTAGATCATGGAATTTAGGAGCTTATATGCATCAATTAAAGTTGAAGGGCTCAATGGTAAATCTAGGGTTAGTTTAGGGGGCTTAACAGTGATTTTGCCAAGAATTTATTGTATGAAAGTGAAATTAGTTGCGATAATCCTAGAAATAAATCAAAGATCAATTATCATCAGAACTATTATGAGACATGGGGACATGATAACTTGGGTTCACGCAACTTGGCAGCCCGCTGGGATAGCCTTTAACTAAACACGAGGGCTTGATTGGTTGACAATATTGCTTCTTTCTTTATCGAATTATAAAAATTAAAAATTGAGTTATAAACTTGTAATTAAAAAAACATATAACTCTATTATCAAAATCAAATGGTTGATAATTACATTGTTTAGCATTTGAGAGGGACAACAAACCATTTTCCGGCGAAGCCAACCAGGTTCCAGCTATTTCCAGAATTCCCTCCTTGCGTTTGTCAATGGCAGTCAGAAAAAGAGCCCCACTAGTGATTAATGAAATTAGCATCGAGCAGGTAAGCCAACCCAGTGGTCAGGGCCTTGACTCTTGAGTGGTGTGGCACCCGGACCCGAGTTAGGGATTTGACAATGATCCCCCTCCCGCTTTGTACAAATAAGGGACCGAACCAGACATTTAAAAATTTTTGTGAGTCCGAATTAATTCACGTTATTATAATTTATATTAATTTTTATATAAATTGTACGTTGATTTAACTAAATTTTAATTATTTTTTATTTAAATAAAATTGTTAAATTTTAAGAATTAGTAATAAAGAGGAAAATAACCTCTTTACTTAAACTTTAGATTTTTTTTATATAATTGAAATGAAACATATAATTCAAATTCTAATAATATATCTGAATTAAAGAGAATGAAGAGAAAGAATAAAATCTTTCTTATTTAATTAATAACATATTAAAAAACCTTTTTTACCCTTTTTAAATAAAAAAATAAAAACAAGCAAAAAAAATTTCATATCATTTCATTTCCTTTCACTCTCTTACCCTTCACTTCTCCCTCTCTTTCTAATCAAATATAAAGTAAAATTATTATATTATTATATTTGATATTTTTCAAAACCCAATCCTATATTGGCTCCATCCTAGTGGCAATTCATCTCGTTCAAAAAATTAATAATAATAATAAAGCACTGAGCAGGTAGCATCCCTAAAAGCAGCCTAAAACGCCAAATTAGTCCACTCCTCAAAAGCAGAGATTTTTAGACGAAAATCCCCCTCCAAAAAAAGAAAAGCTGACTTTATTTTTCATAAAATCATTACATGCTGCCTTCCCATTACGAGTATGTAATGCAAAACGAATATTTGTAAAAGGAATTGTTTGGTTTAACCTGTAAATCATAAATATTGCTGATTAGAAGCTCATTACACAATTGATTTTTTTAAGTATATGAATACATTATATAATCAAGCTATACAACAAATAATAACTCCTTTTTTTTTTTTATAACTCATCTTCATTTGTTTTAAATATTTTAATTAAAAATATTTAATTTTAAATTTTAAATTCTTATTTATTTAATGCACCCTTTTAAGACACCTCATTCAATAAATTTAGAAAAGTGATATATAAAACGATAGGAAAAACTCCACAAGGACCACAATTGACTTCCCTCAACAAAAATGATCCATTAAAAGGCTCATTGACAAAAAAATAAAAAAAAATAAAAAAAAAATTATTTTTGAGACAAGAATAAGTGTTGTATTGATGAAAAATATCTTGCTAAGAATACATAATGACTATATAATTTTTTTTTTTTGAACTAAAGGGAATTGTGGAGGATGGGAGAAGTAATGCCTGGCTGTAGAACCCAGGACTTGGATGTCATAGCACGTTCCATGTAAGTTATGATCACTAGGTCACATAATGCTAGACACAATTACTATATAATTAATTTTTTATTTAGACAGATAAATATAGTAATATACACTAATTAATAAATTTTAAATTGAATGTTTACTTTATGTCTAAAAAAGATAATTATTTTCAAATAGAAACAATGAATTATCTAAAGATTAACTTTTTTATATCTTAAAAATATATTTTTAACATCAATATAAAAGGCTTAAACAATAAATATGATCAACAAAAAAGACATTTACTTATCATTAATTAATTCCAACTTGAGTTAGGAAGGACTACTAACAAAACCCTAAATCAATTTATTTTTTTAATTAACAATTTAAATAATTTAATAATAAATTCTTTTTTGTTAATAATAAAAAATTATAAATTCAAATCGAATAGGATGTGGGTGAACTACCTCTCGTCATACGATCAACATAAAAAAAAAAATTACTCCTTTGTTTTGGTGTGTGAGTCTCATCACCCACGTAGATCAATTTATGCCATTTATTTATTTATAAGTATTTCGGTATTTCCGAATTTAGAGGTATTTATATTTTATACTAGAGAATAAAAATGTCGAGTAGCTCCAGTCCACAATAAATTAGACAGAACGCGAAAAAGAAAGCAAAAACTGAGTGGAAGCCATGGGAGTCTCAATCCCCATTTTAGCCACAGTCATTTCTCTTCACCTCATCGCCCTCGTCTTCGCCATCGGCGCCGAAAGCCGCCGGAGCACTGTACGTTTTTCTCTCTTTTCTTCTCTCTCTATGTGAATGGGTTTTCAGTGTGTTCCTTAAATTCTTCAACTTAGCTAAGGCGGTTTTTATACTTTGCTTAATTCTCTTAGGCTAAGGTGGAGCCTGATAAGTACGATGAGAGAACTTACTGCGTTTACACTACGGACGCGTCGACGGTGTACGGGATGTCGGCTTTCGCGCTGCTGCTGGTTAGTCAAGTGGTGGTTAACGGCGTCACCAGATGTCTCTGCTTTGGCAAGGGCCTTCTTACCGGGACCTCCTCCGCCACCTGCGCCGTCTTCCTCTTTGTCGTTTCCTGGTAAATTCACCAATTTCTCCAATTTCTTATTCATAAATTTTATTAATTTGTTGTCTGTCAAGTTTGGTAAATGGGAGTATAACTATTCCATCTTACCGATATATAAAGTTTTTAGTTTTTTCTTTTTTATTTTTAGAAATAGTAAAAAATTTCATTACTTTGCCATAAACATAGGTTCCTTTCCTTGTAAACATACAAAGCTGACTAATTTAGCGGCGGATTGTGTATGAAATGCTATGCCATTTCAGGGTGATTATTTCTAATGGACTTGTCTTGGTCTGTCATCTCTGGACATGACAAGAAACTGTTTCACTAATTTACCCCTTTTACTGTAATTTTGGGAGACACTGTGATGAAGTTTGAGACTTCGCATTGTAATTGGACATGATTTTGTTTCTGCAACGAAAAAAATGTTGATCTTAACTATTGGTATTGTGACATTAGTACCAAGTTGTTCCATGTTACTTACTTCCCTTTCAGGAAGAAAAGGACAATGATCATATATATGGGCACTTTTGTACTTCAATTTCTTTCTGATCATCTAATAGGAGACTGAGTCAAACCTAATTGAAGTAGTTAATAAACATTCCCGTGTCTATTAGCAACACTGCCGGGCACATATCCAATCGTTTGGCTTGACAATTGCTTCATTGGTTGAAGTTTCTTAAGGTTGACTTAGGTAATTCTTAAGGTTGACTTAGGTAATTACACCTGATGCAAGGTGATATCCTTTGTTATTTTGATTTTATCAATTGTATGATCGTTGAGAAATATGTGTCAAGTCTCGGGATAGATGTGTTCTAATGCTAAGAGAAATTTGTTCTGTTTCAATTAGATGTCATCTTAGCACAAGATATGGTGCCAGATTTCATGAATCTATTGAGAATTGATTCAAACTGAGGTCTGTTAGAAATTGCCCAATCCCATGGATGCTTTCCTTGATTTTTTTCTTTCCCCTTTTGCAAGTTCTTCCATATTTTTAGTGGAAGAATGACAATGATGTTTTTCTTTATTAACGTTGTGCTCTGTTACCTATTAAATGAGGATCATCTTCTGAATAAAAAACTTGTAGTGCTAAATTATTATCACTAAAAGAAAATTTTAACAATGAACCAGGGTGTGCTTTTTGGGAGCTGAGGCATGCTTATTGGCAGGATCAGCAAAGAATGCATACCACACCAAGTACCGAGGAATATTTCATGGAGAACATTTATCATGTGCCACCCTCCGTAAGGGTGTCTTTGCTGCTGGAGCAGCTCTAACGTTGTTGTCGCTTTTCACATCAATCTCTTACTATTGGGTACACTGCAGGGCTGATACTGGTGGATGGGAGAAGCATCGCGATGAAGGCCTTGGCATGGCCACTTCTAGTTTCCCACAGCATCAGCAACAGCAGCCTAATGAATTTGAGAAAGTCTAGTTGTGACTTGTGGTTTTATTTGCTTGATTTCCAGGGTTTTGGTAACTTGTGTTCAGACTCTATAGATATCAACAACAGCTGAAAAACTTGATGGTGCTGAATGCCAATGAACTATGTACGTATCTATGTTATGTGGTTTGCATATGAAAGATGAAATCTATAGTATTAATCCATAATTGCTGCTTACTTTAGCCTTTAGGACCTTGCTTTTACTGACCAACTGGATCTACTCTGCTTATTCATGCTTACTAAGTTGGAAGAATTGCAGATTTGGTCAGTTCCCTGGCAGTGTTACCAACTCCAATTGATGACAACAATAGCAAAGAGAGTTTTAAAATGATTTTGTTTTTCCTTTTTTTCTTTTAGTACCATTATGATAATTAAGAATTTATTCTTTTACTTTTCTTTTTGGTGCAGTTTAATGACAACCATGCATTTTCCGTTTTACTCTGCAAGTTACTTTTGGCATGAGTCGCATGACCAAGTTTAAAAAATAAGAACTGCATTTCACTATCTATCCTACAATTATTCGTGCGTTGTGAAACTAAATGGCATTCATTAGATAAGAGTTTATGCATACTGTCAAAGACTCAACCATTCACTGTGAAATATGGAGTTTTTCACTTTCAATAGTTCTAAGGAAATATAGGAGGAAACCAAAGTTAATCTGATATATGTATTACTATATTCATTAATTATGCTAGAGTGCATGGAGATTTCCAAATGGTATGCTGAGACATCTCAAATCTCTCTATCATTATTTCATTTTTTACTGCTTAATTTTTTCAATTTTTCATTTAACCTAACTTAACAATTTTTTATTTGAATCAAATTAACAATCTGTTTGTGAATTTTTATTCTTTTTCTTAAAGATCCTTATTAAACTTTCCAAAATCTGCCATCATTTGGTTCTTTGTAATAATATTCAAGATAGAGTTGTTTGATTCTCCATCTTTTTTTTTTTTTTCCCCTTTTCCTTAAACACGAGAAATTTTAGGGGGAAAGGAATAATTTGATTGTTATGGCAAGGGATTTTAATTTGTAACTGGTTAATAGTTTACAATATTTTAATAATTTTTAATATGAATTTTGTACCTTTTTATTATATAATACATGAGATGAACAGAAATGAAAGATTGAATTGACTTTAACTTTTGACTAAAATAGATGCACACAAATTTTTTGACATTTAATTTTTATTTTGTAATTGAAAAAACACTTGATGTCACCATTATTAACCAACAACTCCATTTTGACTTTTACTTTTGACACACTCAATGCTATAGCTTTATTCGCAATTTAACAGACTAACTTTAACCATTGTACAAAAATATGAAGGAATTGAAGATATGAGCTACAAAATTGCATATTTTCAATGGAATGGTATGTAAAATCTATGGACTATGGTTAAAGAAACAATAAAGATGTTATCTATAAACTCTAAAAGAAATTGTGAAAATGTCATTCTTATTATTTGAAAAAATTGTTTGGTATTTTACACCCCAAAAAAATTACACCAAATATCTTGATCCTGTAGTTTGATTATGTACACCAAAACTTACAGGGTTATATGTTGTCCTAATGTACTTTGGTGACGAGTACTTAATTTTACCATTGATTTAACACAAATTAATGCACTTTGATGCATCGGTGAAATAATTTCATCCAGCTGCAGCCGCATTTTCCAAATACTCATTTCAGTGATTAGTTTTATGTACATTCAAAACAAAAATCCAAACAAATGGTGCCAGAGAGTTCTATATGTCCATTTCTTTTCACTAAATCCGACGTAAATTCAGAAGTCTATACAAACATGATTGAAGAAAAAGAAAAAGAAAAAGAAAAAGAAAAAGAAATACATACATGGTGTTTAAATTCTGCCATGATTGTGAGATTCACATTCCACTCCTCTTCCTTATTTCAGTGGAGGATATATCCATGTGGAACATTTCGGCTGGTATTGAGGCAAACATGTCCCTCAACACTTCTGGGATGTCAAAATCTTCAAAAACCTGCAAAAAAATTCCAAGTTATAGAATATGAAAAATATCTGCTGTTTTTTTGGAGGGGTTTCTAGTTTATCACACACCTTAAAGACACCATCTACATTGCGATCACCCACAAGGAAAGTGCACCCTGTATTTTTACATCCAGTAAGTATCTCCACCATCTTGTTGTAGTCCCCATCATAGTATTTTGGCTATAAAGCATTTGGAATTAGTAAAACAGAACGAAAATATTGTAACGGATAAAATATAGTGTAATCAGTAGCCATATTTCACAGAAAAGAGAAACTAAATCAATTTCAAGAGTCATACATTGATAAGCCTTGCTGCAGTGTCTCCACCAATCACAAAAGCACTGCCTGGAAAAAGCTCAGCTTTCTTATAGAAAAATGGTTGATTAGAAATTATTACTGTCTTGCCTGCAATTCAAAACAAGAGTAAAATTGCATTAAAAAACCACACATAGAAAACTAACAGCCTATACACATTCATGAAGATCATAACAAAGGCATTGGGTGACATTTCCAGATCCACCGACTCAGACATGTATGCTGTGCACGACAATATTACAGTGTTGCATCTGTAAACTTAACTCTTCAATAAAAACTTGTGCCACTTTAGTTCTTACATTGACTAAATTCTATGATCCTTGCCCACCCCTTGAAGTGATACTTTTTCCTTCAGAAATTCAGATAAAAGAAGTGATGCGTTTTTAAGGTAGAAGTGATAATATTTTAATCCTGAATTGGGCTGACTGCAAATTTCAAATTTGAAAACGCCACAGATCTACACAAGATATCTGTTTTACATACTCAGACATATACAGAACATTACAACAGTAGATCCAACCAGCCTTACCAACTTTTTTGAACTGCTTAACACGATCCTTGATTTGTGACACCGACAATGGAGGTTTGTCTGCATTAACTGCAGACAATTCAAAGCATGGATAACCATTGCCACAAATGCTGCATTAAAGCAAGGTTAGAAAAGGTTACTGATGGAGTATTGTATGTGACTTCTTACTCACATTGGTTAGTAACATGTTTCTGCAATGAATACTAAAGCATATAAGCAATGAAAGGCTATGAAATGACAATCATTTAAACAAGCTTTTACAAAATGACAAACCAAAGGAATGTCTAAGACTCTAAGGCATATAGGATCTACAAAACCACATATAGACAAGTTGATATTTCAGAATAAACAGTTTCTATATTCACAAACCTAGCTGCAACTTCCAGGAGCTTTAGGTGAACATCATGTAGTGGATTAAAAGAGCCAGATGGTATAATCTTCCTATCTTCATTTGACAAATCTGTCTCTGGAATGCAGTACTTAGACAAAAATAATAGACCAATGAAGAAAAAATTAAAAATAAAATATGTTTCATTTTTGTAGGAACTTATTCAACCAAAGGCTATTATACCATGTGAAAATGGATTAACTTTAAAACAAATTTGCCCGTTTATAAGCTGCACCAATTCCTCCTCCTCACTGAAGAGCTTTTCACATTCCTCCGGAACTTCAGATTCAACCAATTCAGAATCAAATATCGCAGGAACCTTGCATGCATTTGCAATTGCCTAAAACCACGAGATGAGAAGCATTAAGATCTACAAGTAAATGAAGAAAGAAGAAGCTTAGGATAAACAAGTCTTGAAATATTCTAGATTCTAGACAATGTATTTAGACAAAAAAAGCTTAGGATAAATAACTGATGCACTAAAGTTAAAGATTATTCTCAGGTTTTATCACTCACCTTCAGTAATAGATAACTTGAAACCTTTTCCTCTTGCTCTCGAGTCCTCAAGCCCTAAATGAATTCAGTATCATTATATTGATGCACAGAAGATCTTTGAAGCAAATTCAAATCCTGCCTTAATTACATAATTACCTTTGACAGGGTAACTGTAGATGTCCAATGTCTGTCTGATGTTCACGTTGATAAGTAAAACCTAGACATAAAAATGGGTGGAGGATGAGAGAGAACAAAAAGGAAGTTAAGTGAACAATCTCAGGGAAACAACATTGGACAGTTAAAGGGTTCTATGGCCAATCAAGCCTAGTAAACATTGTGGCATTGTTTAAGTCCTCAAACTTACATGAATGTTAGTCAAGCATTAACGATACCTTCTCTTTGTAATAATACTAGTTAAACAAGATTGGACAATCAAGATTGGATCAAGCCTAATCAACATTCTATGGAGCCTTAATTGATTGGATCAATTAAAGGGTATTAAGAAACAAAACCAAAGAGAATAACAAAGGACTCAATAAAATCATAGCTTCACAATTATAAGGGTATGATGTATCTTCCAAAAAGGTGTTTAATATAAACAACAAACTTCATTGAAGATACCTGTGATCACCTAGCTTTGGGCGTGTGGTTGCCAAAGAACCAGTGAAGCCTACTCCCAGCACTGGAAGACCTATATAATAATAGACAAAGAGAGATACATATAATGCCTTTCAGCAAAATCAAAATGAAATGTTATTTATCTTAACAATCTCTAACCTGGTCTAGAAAGCTTAAGAGCGCGATTATAAGCCAACAAAGCCATTTCCTCGGCAGTTTGTTGACTACAGTATTGGGCGGGAATCTGCAACACCGAGGAAAAACAAGCAAATGAATAGAAATAATGAAATCGGGATTATCTAAGTGAATTCAGGCAAGGAATAAAGAGAACCTTGCCGAGTAATTGGATAGTGGACATTGTGGAGTACGGTACGACAGCCTCCAGAACCGTATTCGAAGCTCCCGAGACTGAGATTAACCAGCTTAAAACCTTCTCGGATAATGATATAATTAATCAAATGAGGCAATTAGAGACGATAATTAAATGGATAACAAAAAGAGGAGGGAGGGAAGGAGGAGAGAGAGAAGAGACCAGAGAGGTGCCGCCGGAGAAGTAGAGGACAGCCTGAGTCGGAGAAGAGTGGATGGCTTCGACGACGGTCCTGACGCAGGCATCCGTCATTTCCTTGTCGCGTTCTGATGATTGTTGCTGTCCCTTTCCGATCCAATTTTCCCTCGCCAACAATAGGCGGGTAACTTCAACAAACGACGTCGCTTCCTTCCGAAAGTCTTGTTTGGCCAAAATATATATACAGAAAGTCCTGCTTCACTCACATCTTTTTGTCTTTTAAATTGATATTTTTCTTTTTTTGCCTTTTCTTTTTTTTTTGGTAATCCTCTCTCCACTTTAACTGTTTTATTAGAGATAAATGTGTCATTTTAATACTTAATTATAGAGTTTTAACTAATTGTTATATTATTTATAGATATATGTAAAGTCAAAAAGTAAAACAACTAAAATGGAGAGGAGGGGTGGAAAATTATAATGTTAATTTTGAAAGGTTAAAACCCTTTTTTGGTCCCT